GGTGCCAACTTGGGCCAGTGGAGCAACGTCCTCCACAACTAGATTGAAGAACAAGATGACAGCAACTTGTCTGTTCCCCTTCCCCCAATTCCCCAAAAAAAAAAAAAAAAAAAAAAAAAAAAAAAGAAGGATTGGTAATACAAAGTACTATTATGGAATAGTGTTGAAGAAATCATTTCTGATCATAGTGCATCATTTAGTTGGCCTTATTAAGCCAAAAACCATAGAAGTAGAATTTAAAACAAAATAAACTCCTAAAAACTCCCCATTAAACTCAAACAGATATTAGAGATTAGTTAAAAGTTCATCTTTCACATTCGGACACTTTCTAAATTTTGACTTGGAATTGTCATCTCTATGAACGCTACCTTTTAACTTTCAGCTTCTGAAATTATCAGCATTGAATTTTGTAACATTAATTACAACTTTGAGAATGTTTGAAGCAAGGGTTCTCTTTCATCAGCTCTCCATACCTGATGTTTAGTTGAAGGCCACTCATCCGCTTGGCAATGGAATGCTTTAGTCTTGGTGCTGATTTTGATTTTGAAACTATGTTCCATGAGAACTCAGTTCATCGATTTTCTAATGAGGCAAAAGATAGGAAACCAAAACACTTTCTGTGGCCCAGAGGTTTTGCTTTATATGCTTAGAAAGTACATGGTTGGTTATGCCCGAGTTTGGGTTACTCAGAAATGACCCAGGAGGGGAAGAAAAATTAAAGATGTTCAAAATCCTAAGTTCTGAGGGTGTTTACCTTTAGGTCAGCTGCTTCAAAAGAAGTTTCAAAGTAAGTGACCCTTTTTCAAAATTTGAACCTTTTTGTTTTCAGCTTGAAACTATTTTCTTAGCTCCTTTTGTCTTTCCCTTTAGATGATAGAAGATGTTTTGGGAGAAGGGTCAGTCTCCGCCAGTCGGTTCAGTAGGTGGTTCTCTAACCCAAGCCGATCAGGAAGCCGATCCAGTAGTCTTGGGTCTACACCACACGAAGAACTGGAGAGACTTGCAGGTAAAATGGCTTCCAATTCTGGCCTTGGACGTAGACTTGAGCTTTCTCTGACATCGTTTATTCTGTCTTCATTAGTCGGGGGTCCATTAGGGTTAAAGGATCTCTGGATAGTAAAAAAGTCTTCAATTTGTGTCCTTTTAATACTGTTCAAGATATGTTTCTGTGTTTTATTGACACCAATTAATTATGAATATATATACTTGAAATATTAGGTCTGGAGCAAGCCATCCTCTCTCCTGGACAGAATTCGGGGAATTATTTTGCTCCTATACCATTGGAAGACCATGCTGAAAGTAAAGTGGATATTTTAGAAATGCTACAGAAAGCCAAAGTGGATTTAAAACCTCTTCTTTCCAGCCTTTCTGCAAATAAAGAAAAACTTAAAGAGAGCTGTAAGTGTTTATTAGAGTCTGCTTTAGGTATCTGAAAAAGCTTGAATGTTGTCTTAAGGCAGTTAAATCTAACACTATTTCATCAAAAGTCAAATAGATGTTGGGTTTTATTTAATGTTCTTAAAAAAAACTTTATGAAACAGTACCACCTCTTTGAGAACCTGGTAGTCAGTGGGTCCTGGACCCTACGATAAGAACTTTGCACCAAGCCCTGCTTCTTACCTGGAGCCTAATTATAACACCAGTGAACGTTGTAGTCATCCTAACTTGGCAGCTCTTCACATCTTTGCCCCAATCTGCCATGTTCTTGCTTAGGTTATAAGCCCTCAACATAAAACCTTAGTGATATAATAACCATAGTGCTGGTAGCAGTCTTGCTGATGTTGGGCTGTCTGGGATTCCTGTCCCTGGTGACAAGTCTCCAGAAAACTCATCAGAGAGGTCGTCCTGCAGGATGTACAGCAGGATCTTGTCAAGTCTTAAAGCATAGCACCCCATGGTTGTATCCCCCAGTTTCTAGCACCTAAACATTTTAGATTTAGTTTATACCAGCTCTTACTAAGTAGGCAATTATGGCCTTATTCCCACTGAGCAACAATGATTTTAAGTGTCTTCAGTTTGTCTGTTTTTGGTATCAGCCTCTTTTATTTTCACCTTAACCATCATGGTAGCCAGAGAGAATTCCTACCATATATTTCTTTGCTTGGGCTTAACCTGGACTTTCTCAACCTTTTCAGCACATTCAGGGGTTGTGCTTTCAGTGGAAGAGGTAGAAGCAGGTCTCAAGGGCTTGAAGGTGGACCAGCAAGGGAAGAATTCAACTCCCTTCATGGCAGAACACTTAGAGGAGACCCTGAGTGCTGTAACCAGCAATCGACAGCTCAGAAAAGATGGCGATATGACTGCGTTCAACAAGCTAGTGAGCACCATGAAGGCAAGTGGGACTTTGCCTTCTCAGCCCAAAGTCAGCGTAAGTATCTGGCACAAACCCCAGCCTTTCCTCCTTTTCCCTCTTTCTATTCCACTTCCACAATAAATGGATTTTAAAAAAGGTATTCTGAGTAAGTTGGAAATTCTTTAGTAGTCATTTAGTCCTTGATGCTTTTGTGTGTTCTTTAATTCTCGCCATCCTATTTGTTACTAGGGAAAGGTTTGTGGTTAATCTGTATGTATTGTGGGTCATTATAAAGATTGAAAGATTCAGACATCACTTTCTTAAGTCACTGCTGAAAAAAAGGTGTAAAAATATAGTTTTGGATGAGCTCCAAAGAAAGTCTTCTGTTTATTCCGCTACTTAAGTTAAAATAACTTACTGTATTTTTATAGTCAAATCTTTTCACACCTTCTAATTATTCCCAAATACCTGGGATTACCGACTTTCTTGATTAGGCAGTTGGCAGTTATACGAATCATTTGTAAAGTATCTAGGATGGATTTTTCAAGACAAATGTGCTCTATATTTACTGATAGAAAAAACTGTGACTCCAAACTTGTAAAACACCTTTAGGTATGAAGTTAAAAGGCGACCGCATGTCAGGTGTATGACACATACGCGTACTGGTCTTTGTCATAACTCATTAGAGGTAGAGGGTATTTCTCAGCCATGGCCTATGTGTCAGTATTGCTATGCCTTGATGATACAAAGTGATAGAGGAAACAGGGCAAATCTGAATAATAAAACCAAACAGACTTATTCCAGTTAAACTATAGCAAATTTACCAAATTGAGTTTTGCCTCTTGTTTTCCCCTTACACCTTCTTGTCTGGGGACTACAAGTTAGCTATGGGAGTGATAGATTGTACCACGGGAAGGCAACTGGTTTTTGGTGTTTCTTATGTGACCAGCAGTTAGTGATAGAGATTCCAACAGAGGTAGCAGCATTGTTCCTGGCCTCATTGCCAGGACTGACTCTGTACCTCTAAAATGAGGCATCTCAGGTAGGTAGATTAAAAGATCTACCTACCAGATTAAAAGATCACAAACTATCCTGTACTCCTTCCTTGTTACCTTTGTGTCTTGGATGACTGGGTGCTGACTGCAGTGGTATGGGTCAACTCTTATAAGTAGCCTCTTGTAGTGTGAGTAAAGAAATGGGCAGTTCAACAGGTAACCTGATGCTTTTGAACATTTTGTGTCAGATATGATTCTAGGGTTTGATATTGCCACAATTGACCCTGAGTTGTAAGGGCTTGCTGTTTGGTTTAATGTTGGTATTTCAGTGCTCTAAACTATATCTGGTTTCAGCCAACGGAATGAGCCCCAAACACCTGCACGTAAAAGGATGGATGACATAATTCAAATTGCTAGGCAACAAGTAACAAACTCATCCTACCCTAGAAAAGAAAGCAACAAGGAAAGGAATGCAATAAGCACATTACCCCAAAATATTGCTTGATTTGCATGTGGTTGAGTCATGGTCTCCTTCTAAAACCAAGTCTTTAATTATTTTGCTGTGTGTGTTACATATACTATTTCTGATCTTCCTCCATCTGTTTAGGTTCAGTCATGTTGTTTCATCCCCAGTGTAGGACATGATGTTTCAATCTAAACTCCATTTCATATTGAATTGTAGAGTCTGTCCTCCAAATACAGTAAGCCCTGTAGTGTAGAGTTGCCTACTTGTTTTTGTTAGATGGAATTAAATGACTCTTGAGGATATTTCTTATTAAAATCATCTGCATTCAGTCCCAATTCCAAAAACAGCAATAAAGCACTTGGATGTCTTTGGGCTATTTGTCATGCCCGAGGACGTTGCTGTGGACCTTGGCATCTCCACCTAGTACAGGGGTCAGCAAACTTTTGAGACAGAAGAGCCAATCTTGTCCCTCGAAGTTTTGCAAGACCTATAAAACAAATGAAATCACCATTATGTGAATAATATCCTTTAAAATTTTTATAAATGAAACTATGATAGTTTTACTTTCAATTTTACTTCAGAGCCACATGTGCGTACCCAAAGAGCCGTGGGTGGCTCGTGAGCCGCAGTTTTCCAACCCCTGACCTAGTAGAAGGGAAATGACCAGAGAAGGCATTTCAGGCAGAGCTAAGTGGGCACAAGGATGTACTATTGTGCAGGAGTAATGCACGTTGGATGCAAAACGTAGCTGCTGCTGCATTAAAAGAGCAAGTGGAGGATTTGAATTTGACTCTGTATATGAGACCCATTTGTAACAGCTTACTTATAAATAAATAGTAAAGTTTAAATTTCCTGAAATATGAAACTCTGAAATATAACAATTCTGGCTAAACCTGCATGTTGTTTACTAGGCTTTTAAGTACCATCTGTGGTCTGTAAACCTTGTTAAAGATAATGGGTAGCAAAGGTTGCCTGGAAAACTAAAGTCTATAAATTACCAAAATTTCCTATGTGTAACTTTTTCTAAGTAAGTGCTTCCCTATTTCACCGTTTTCTTTTCCCTTTTTTGGGTCACAGTGTTAGAACCAGTGAAATGAACTAGGGATAACACAGGGAGGAAAAGACTTTGCCTGAGGGTCTGAGTGGATTTTACATGTACATGTGAAGATTCTTTTCCCCGATCTTTGGGACCCATGTGATGAGAGAGTAGAACAAGTTGATCTAAGTTAGTTTTCTGTGACTGGGGAGTTTTTAATGCTTTCTTGTCCCCAGTTAATCTCTAAGTTAAGTATGTAAGAAGGTTAAAACCAGTTTTCCTTTGACTTTTTTAGCGAAACCTTGAAAGCCATTTGATGTCCCCTGCTGAGATTCCAGGCCAGCCTGTCCCTAAGAACATCCTACAGGTACTTCACAATCTTATACCAAGGCCTCGGAGTCCTGAACAGTAGTCCTCTGTACTGGTTTTTTGCTGTTGTTCAGCTCTGGGCCTTAGAGAATGATCCATATTGCCTGAGGATATGTCGTTGACTTAGTTCTGTGTCCCTGTTAATCTCAATGTGGGGTGGGGAAGTGGCTACAAAAGATGACAAAGTAAGCCCTTGATTTCCAGTTTGCAGATTTACAATTTCTATGGAAATTTAAAGTAACCTGTATTTGTAGCACTAACAGCAAATGTTGCTGGTTGAACATTCAGAGAAATGTGTTGCATGGACATGTGCCAAGTTCTTCAGTGGAGGATGAGAGAGATTCTTCGTTGGCTCCCAAAAGTTAATCCATAGCCTCTGACTAGGAGGAAGAACTAGGTTTGTTCATATGGATTTGACTTTTCTGCCTGTAGGAACTTCTGGGTCCGCCAGTTCAGAGACCTCCTTCCAATCTTCTGAGTGGCCTTATGGGAAGCTTGGAGCCTACAACATCTTTACTTGGCCAAAGAGCACCCTCTCCTCCCTTGTCACAGGTGTTTCAGACGCGAGCAGCCTCAGCAGACTACCTTCGTCCACGAATACCATCTCCAATTGGTAAATACTCTTGTATGTAGATATCCATCCCCGTCACACTGCAACCCTTCCCCGCTCCCCCCAAAAGGTTATATTTGTCCCCTAGAACTGGCAAGGTCTTTTTTCATCGGTACCCTTGAAGACTTTAAAAAGAAATATGTGGATTTTAAAAAAATTTTTTTCTGGGGGTGGACACAAATGTGGAAGGTAGTTTATTATCCAACTGCTCCTCTAGATAAATATGTTCATGTTATAGTTTTTTCTCTTGAGATCTAAATTGGATCCAGCTCCTTAGTCTTCTTATTTTGGGAATTCAATCCAAAAAAGTTAATTTGGCTTCCTAGGTTTTTTCTTGATAGAGTAGAAGTCAGAACGGTGTCTCTACCAACCTAATGAAGTTGGTACGCAATCAGCTGTGAGGTCTTGTGACTAATCCAGAATATGAATGAAAGAGGCACTTCCAGAAAGCTGTCTCAGCAAAGTGTTGTACAGAATCTCAGTATTCCTACCACCCTGGGAATTCTGGCCCCTGCCAGTCATACCTTGAGAAGTTTTTGTAATCTTCCCTCCACAGTTAGGGAGGTAGAATGGGGACAACGTGCACCTCAGAGCACTGGTCTCCGCTTGGATATCAGCTGTCTTGGGGATAATGGGCCAAATCACTGGCTAGAAAAGTTCTTCTCTCAGAGGTCTCATCTCTGAAAGGGACAAAACTGACAGCTTAGTGGAAAAGATGGATAAGCAGCAATTTGAGTCATTAAGTGCTGATTGAGGTACACATAGCCCACTTGGAGATGGACATCATCAGCCCGGGAAGTCAGTACTTCCTGAAACAGATGGTGTTCAGGAAACACATCAGGAGATGGCATGCACTGGTGATAATGTCTGTGATGGACATGTGCTATCTTGACACTCACCGTAACTTTCCCCACAGGTTTCACAGCAGGACCACCGCAATTACTCGGAGACCCATTCCAAGGCATGCGCAAGCCCGTCAGCCCTGTCACGGCCCAGGTCCGGCTGAGCTCTTTCTCCAACTCTAATCTATTGCTCGCTTTTCATCCTTATTGTTGTTTGTGGGATTGGAGAATTAAATTGCTATAATTCTTGGAAGTGGTTTTAAACTAGAATTCAAGCTCAGAATTCAAGTGAAGGCAAGAAAATTGGTGAACAATTAAAGTCATACTTAAATCATTAAAATCCTGTTCAGTGGGTAGCAGCACAATTTAGTCAGGTTGCAGTATCTAATTTCTTTCAGCTGCTGCTTAAGCATACCTGTCTAAGAGAGACCTTTACATAGAGTTCATTGACTGTCCTCATTCTTCTGTTGATCCCCCTCTGCCACCTCTGGTCAGCAGATGAGCCAGCTTGAATTGCAACAGGCAGCTTTGGAGGGGCTGGCTTTACCACATGACCTTGCAGTGCAAGCAGCAAACTTATATCAGCCTGGTTTTGGCAAACCGCAGGTGGACAAAACCAGAGATGGATTCAGAAACAGGTAAGTTACCAATCTTACCCTTGTGGGGATTTGCAAATTAATTTTCCTGAGATTAGCACGAGTTACCCACAGTATAATTCTGTTGTACACACTGATATGTTGTACAACATCTGGTGAGAATTCCATCTTACTCCAGATGTTCAATAGAGGAAATAATATGAATTCTACAGCATGGACATAGGCTTTACATCCTGTTTAATTTCATTTATATTTTTTATTAAAGAATTCATTTTTACAAATGTAGCTAGCATTGCTCCTTATTTGCAGTTATGCTTATGAGATAATGAAAAGTGAACCTCTAACCAAGCTTCCTTCCCCGTAGAGTCCTCACTGAGTTATCCAACTATCCCTGGATGCAGGTTTGTTGATCAAAAATTTGTTGGTCAGAGTTGATGGGTTTGAGAGTTGGTTGATCAGAGCTGTTAACAATTGATTACTGACCTCATTCTTTCCTGTTCTTTCTGCCAGTTGCAACAAGTAGTAAAATAAAATGAATCATAAGTTGTGGGGGTTAGCAACACTGTTTTTTTATTGTAAAACAAAACAGAAAACTGCATTAAACAAATGTATAGCTTAGTATAAGGCAATCTCTTGTTAGCTACCCAGAAGCCCTTGATGTGCCCTGTCCCAGTAGTACCCCTTTTCCTCCTCCAGAAGTGACTACTGTCCAGCCTTTCAGGACATTTTAGCCCTGCCCGTACAGTACTTGGTAATTAAGAAGTATTTACGTTTTGATGTGGTTCTTAAAATTTGCCATATCCGTGTCTCAGTGTCTTACTTCAGCTGGTTTTCTATGCTGACACGCAGAAAACATTGAGACCAGTCAGTACCCTGTACCCTTGCATAAATGTATCCAGTTTAAGTACCCCTCAGCATAAACAGCTCGGGACCGGTCTGCTGAGCCCGTCACTGAACTTCTCTCTACAACATAATGTAGTTATCCATTGACACTATTTGTTGACTTTCAAAACACTTTTGATAGCCAGAATTTTATTTGTTCTTGGCAACAACCCTGTGAGGTAGATGGGATAAATAACTGCATTTTACAGATTCAGAAACTTAGGTTTTTAAAGGTTTTTAAAGTGTAACTTACTCGAAACTACTAAGTAGACCGAGTCAGTGTCATGGAGCCTTCATGTTTTGGATCAAATGTCAGTCTCTCAGGCCCTTCCTGAACACACTATATACAGCTGTGCCCCAACAGACATGACTTTCTCCTTGCCTTGCTTTATTTTTTGTCATACTTACCACCTTCTAGCATACTATCTTTTTTGCCCATAGTAACCCCTCTATACTCTGCAACCACAAGAATGTAATGAGGCCAGAGAATTTTTTTGTCTGTTTTATTTCGTGCTGTATGCCCAGCACCTAGAACAGTGTCTGGCAGATAGTAGGTACTCAACCATGTTTATCAAAAGGAATCAATTATAGGCCATCAGAACCACCTGATTTGGGTTTCACGTCTTAATCACTCAATACTACTGATCTGTCTTTTCCCTCACTGTCATATTCCGAGTCAGTCTGGCAGCAGTGGGGCTCACCTAGTACAGACTGGAAAGCAGCCATTGGTTTAGGATTCCCATCTGCTTATGATTCAGAGTAACTTCCTGAATCATGGACTATACTTGGCCTTTGTCTTTTGTGGTACAAGGTATGACATGGCTGAGATGCAGTGAAGCTTTCATTAGCCAGTGAGCTCACATAATTCATTCTTCTCTCCGCTTGTTTATATCTTCATCAGCTGTTTCCTGTTTTCTTTCAAATTAAGGTAGAATAGGAAGAGAAGGAAAGTCCTTGTAAACTTGATTTGGGAAGCTTGCAATCAACCTCATGTGTAGACTGGGAGTGGTGGGGAATGCTGCATGTAACTAGGCCTTAAAGTATTCGGTTGTCGGAAAAGTCATGATGCATTTTTGCAACGAAAAACAGAAAAAAATACGTCATGACTTTTCCGACAATCCAATAGCTGAAACTGTCGGCGCTCTATTTGACTTGAACCAGTGTTTCACAGAGATCAATTCTGTGCCAGGCACTGTACTGGGCACTGTTGCTCCCTACCCTCTGGAGCACAACCTGGCCCACCTCATTGGTATAGTCTACAAGTAAACTCTCCACCAGCCTCAGTAACCCTATATCCCCAAGGCCTTCCCAAGTCCCGGGACCTGCTCCTTCTGCCTGAATCATTGTTCTCCATCTTGGCAGCTTCTCGTTGGTGACACACAGTTTAATGCAGCTCCTTCCCAGAGAAGCTTTCCCAGAGTCCCTTCAGTAGAAGTATCCTGTCATTTCTTTTGCCCCTCTTGGCCCCATTATATCTAGTTGGTACCTAATGTCTGCATGCCTTGGTTTGTCCTAGGTTAGTTAGTAAGCGTCTCCTCCACTAGACGAGAGTTCTTACAAGGCCAGAACCATGTTTCAGTTAGCTTTTGAACTTTCAGAACTTAGCGTGTGGTTTTGCATATTTAGACACTTATAACATGCTTGGGAAATTGAATTGGAAAAGGGAAACGGTGTTAAAATCCTAGGCTGCTAATTTTGAGTATTTTGTGGTTTTAGGACTTGGAGTTTGAGCAGCTTGGGGCTCATACTGATACTTGGTTTGTTCACAGGCAACAGCGAGTGACCAAGTCACCAGCACCCGTGCACAGAGGAAATTCCTCTTCCCCTGCCCCGGCTGCCTCCATTACAAGCATGGTCAGTGACCTTTGCCTTGGTGAACGACTTCTAGGCTTCTCCCTGTTTGGCTATGCCTGTGTTGTATCACCGGGTAGCCCAGATGTCCTTGAGTGCCTTCCACGGCAATAACTGACTTTAAGTCTTTCATACCTGTCTGTTGACTAAGTTTTCCCCTTTCAGGATACCACGTAACTCTTAGTATTCTAGTGAAGCCCCTACATTGGGGAAAGTGTGTTCCAGCAGATAGATGAGTATGGCTGGAGCATACGAGTTGATATGTTGTATGTTCAAACAAATGAACAGTGGAGTGGGGAGGAAAGGGGTGAAAGACAGAAGGTGAGGCGGAGAGGGTGGCTGGGGTCAGATCATGGGATGTCCAGTGAAACATGGTGAGTTAATAAATTCAGATTCAGGTATCAGTGATATGAATTAAGTCTGGAACAGAGGGGTTTGCTTATTTTTACAGCTGCCTCATGTACCGGCATTATTTATTTTTTGAAAGCTTCCTTTCCCACATATTTTTATCACCTCGTCAAAGCTGATAGACACAGGGAAAACTGTTACTCTGCTTCAGGACCCCAGGTGGGTCTTTGCACTAAGCACCTTGAAGGCAGGGATCCCGAAGGAGCTTTTCTGTTCATAATTCATGCTGTCTCCTGCCATCACGGATTTGGAGTTGGTTAATGATAAAAGTTGCATGCCTAATAAAATCATCAAAGTAGAAATCAGTAGTGAAGAAATGGAAACAATGACCCCAAATGGTGAGTCCTAGTGGCTGAGGAGACTATTAAGATAATTTTGGATTTTCTGGTACCCAAGTTAAGATGGGAAACACCAGGAGTACAGCAGGTCCTTGAATAATGTTTTGTTCAATGTTGTTTGGTTATAACGTTGATGAGATGCTATAGGAACTTAACTCTTGTATATATCAACTAGCCTATGGTAAAATTGGTTTCAATATACGTTGTTATGCTTAAAGTCACAGAAGCTATCAACAGCGTTAAGCGAGGACTTGCTATATAAAGAAGTTTAGGCTCTGAGGTTGTCTCTAAAATGTCCTTTCTCAACTAGAAGGCCTCCTGCTCCAGGGTATACTTCTACCATGCTCTTGCCTCTTCCCAGCCCAGTGCCCTGGCTGGGGAAGTGGCAGCTGCATAGGCAGGTCCCTGTCACTTCAGACACAGGTAGGTTGAAGCTTTGTGCTTTAACTACCTTAATGTTACAACAAAGTCTAGGTTTTGATGAAAGTGAGTTGTGAGCAAGGGACGAGGCACAGGGACCGTCTATATGGCCCATCCTGTTTCTTTTCCTCCAGTAGCTAGAGACCTGAACCTTGGAGTTGGCCTCTGCCACATGTAGCCAATAAGGGGACTTTTCAGCTTGCTGAGTAGTTTGGCCAGTTAATCCTGGCTTGATTAGGGAAAGGCATTTAGAAAATGTGCTGATACTAATTGTGTGTCTCTGCAGCTTTCTCCTTCCTTCACCCCTACCTCAGTGATTCGTAAGATGTACGAGAGCAAAGAGAAAAGCAAGGAGGAGCCAGCATCTGGGAAAGCAGCTCTTGGTGACAGTAAAGAGGACAGTCAGAAGGCCAGTGAAGGTACTGCAGAGCTGTGGAGGGTACACTTTCCAAGAAAGTATGTGACAGGGAGCACGGGCTGGAGTGCTGAGCAGCCTGACCCGATTCTCTGCAAAGCCCCGGGCAAGACCCCTGACTGCTCTGGACACAGGTCTACGTTTGACAGTGAGAGGGGCTGGACCAGTTCACAGTCTCTTAGCCACTGGAAAATTCTGGTCAATCTAAAAAAAAAAGAAAAGAAAATTCTGATCAATCTAATAGTGGTATGAGTGCTAGTATTAGACAGGAAGGAATGAGCTTTAGTTTTGGATTCTTTTTTTTTAAGATTTTTATTGGGGAATTGGGGGGATGGGAACAGTGCTGGGGAATTGGGGGAAGGGGAACAGACAAGTTGCTATCCTTTTGTTCTTCAGTCTAGTTGTGGAGGATGTTGCTTCACTGGCCCAAGTTGGCACCATCATTGCGCTCTTCCCAGGCGAGGCAGATCAGTCGCTGGCTTCTGGAAGGCCAGCAGCTGCCTGCTGGCTACACACGGTAGCCCATGGCAACCCACCTGCCATCACCAGCGACTCAGGGCAGCCCAGCTCCAGGTTGAGCTGTTGTTCAGCATCTTAGCTGTAGAGGGCAGTGTCACTGGCCCTCATATGTGGGATCCGAACCGGGGCCCTCTGGCGTCCCAAGCCAGCTCTTAACCAAAGCGCCACTTGGCCGGCCCTAGCTTTGGATTCTTATTTAGGCCTCAAAGTTGATCTATTAGTACATTTATTTGGCAAATTTATAGAGTTCAACCAGTTTTACTTCTGAAAGTTCCTCTCCAGTCTATGGAGACTAAGTGTATAACAAAATCTGTGCAATAGGTGAAGCATATAGGAAGTGTGGAGAGCCTTTTAGGAGTATATAGAAATGGGAGAGGCTTTTAGGAGTTGAAGTTGAGACTGCGAAGGTCACGGTGAAATAGATTCTAATAAGTTAGGGTTTATACAGGTCTAGAGTATTGGTGGGAGAGCTTTTTGCCTGTGAGAAAGCTTCTGGGGAAAACAAGGAAATCCTATTGGTCCTATTAAAAGGCAGTTAAGGTTCCTTAACCAGGCTGTAATTGTTATTTAAACTTTCTGTTGTGGTGGATTTGCATAAGTTTATTCTTACTTGATTTTTCCCCTTCGGCTGAAAAGCATGTTAATCCCAAACAGCTGACTAGGACGGGCGCCACTCCCATACACACCAGACCACAGCCATAGGGGCAGAGTAAAGTGCCCAACTGAGTTAGACCACCAGACCTGAAATGCCAGGCCCACTTGCCTATAGCTATTCTTGGGTTGCGAGATTATAAACATAAAGATGTGGGCTTAAGAGTTACGTCATTTTTAACTTCAGAGCCTTTGGGTTTTGAGAGTTTACCAAAAATAAACTCTGTTCCAACAAAATGTTGAAGATAGGAAAACTTGGGGTCTAGTCCCAGCTCTGTCCCTGACTGCCCCCTATAACTTAGGGCCTATTCATAAGGCAAACAGTGGTCCCTATGATGCAATCCTCTAAATTTGTTGAAGGGATCAAATAAGGATTGTGAGCTTTCTAAGGAATGAGATTTACTGGATCATTGGGAGGACAGTGTTTGGGAGAAGTCTCCCAACACCAAAATGTTCTGTCTGGATCCTTACAGAGAACCTGCTCTCAGCCAACTCTGTGCCCAGTGCTGATCGAGACTCTTCCCCCACTGCAAACCCCAAACTGTCAGCCTTGCAGCGGTCTTCGTGTTCCACCCCACTGTCCCAGACCAACCGTTACACCAAAGAACAAGATTATCGACCTAAAGCACCTGGGAGAAAAACGCCCACCTTGGCATCCCCGATTCCAGGAGCACCTTTTCTCCGCCCTGTCCACCAAGTCCCCCTTGTCCCCCATGTCCCAATTGTTCGGCCAGCTCACCAGCTTCACCCAGGCTTGGTTCAAAGGATGCTGGCCCAGGGAGTACATCCACAGCATCTTCCAAATTTACTCCAAACTGGTGAGTTTCTGGCCTGCCATGACAACGGTTGATGGAACTGATAAAGTGCTGTACTGTGGGAGGTTTTCATTCCTGGAACGATGTTACTAGATTTTTCCATCTAATTGGTGGACAGCGGGTCCAATCCATACCTTAAAAGATTAGAAACCTAATTATATATTCTTTACTCTTAATGAACTTTCAGATCAGCAAAACTGTAGTCAAGCTTTGAAAACTTCCAGGTAGATTAAGATTACTTCTCACCAGTTTCTTCTCTCTGGCCAACAACAGGTGTACTTCCTCCTGGGATGGATCTGACTCATTTACAGGGAATATCTGGCCCAATCCTGGGTCAACCCTTTTACCCTTTACCTGCCGCTAATCACCCTCTCCTAAACCCTCGTCCTGGGACACCGCTGCATCTGGCAATGATGCAACAGCAGCTACAGCGCTCAGGTAGGTAGGTTCAGGAATGGGTTAGGTAAACTGGGGATGGGCTGAATAGGCTTAAAGCCTTAGACCAGTTTCCAGTGAAGGCAATGAATTGACACTGACAATTTATTCTTTAACTTATCCTAGAAAGACTGAGATTAGGGTGTTACCAGAGAATAGGATGAAGTAAACCAACCTCTGGGATTTGAAATTCCTGTTCCTGTAAAACAGAGCGAGAGCCAAGTGTACTGTGACTTTTGTCCTTTGCCTCTTATGAGAGAAGGCTGTGTCCTTCCAACAGAGGTTCAGCATAGGGACTGCTCAGAGTAGATGCCCCCTCTCGCCAGCTAATGTTAGTGCTTCTGTGATGTGGCTGCTTGCTGTGGGAAGTAGTGGTCATGTCATCTACGATGGGTTCTCAATGTGATGGCTTTTGAATAGCCCAGCTTTCCAAGGTTTTATTTTCTGGCATTTTGCAATGTAATTCCCTTAAGCCCTAGCATAAATCATTTGGTAAAGAATTCTGTTTGGAGTTTTATGGATAGGGTTTGAGTGAAGCAGGGCCCGATCTATTGTAGCATTGCTTTACCCCTCATGCTCTAACCACCCCTTCCTCCTCCTCCCCACAGTTCTTCATCCTCCAGGCTCTGGTTCCCAGGCAGCTGCTGTCAGTGTTCAGACAACTACACAGAGCGTGCCCAGCCGGTCAGGCCTGCCCCACATGCACTCCCAGCTGGAGCACCGCCCCAGCCAGAGGAGCAGCTCCCCAGTGGGCCTAGCTAAATGGTTTGGCTCAGATGTGCTACAGCAGCCCCTGCCCTCCATGCCCGCCAAAGTCATCAGCGTAGATGAATTAGAATACCGACAATGAGCAGGGTAGGCAGGCTCACCGAAGCCTGGGCCTACGGTGGCACCCTGGTCAAGACTCTGCCTCCTCATCTCGGGTTGGTTTACAGGCTTTTACTTTGGAGTACTCTCCGCGAAACTTTTGAGGGGGGCCCAGGCCTCTGGTGTGGTCTGCATGATGGGAAAATCTTAACCAATCGAGTAAAGCCTACATGGTCTAAATACAGGATACAGTTATTGTAAATCCTAGTCTTTTTTTGTAAGATATGTGAATGAAGTGTTGGTGTCTTAACCAAGAGGTGGCACCTAAGGGTTCCAAGGAAATAAATGTATAAACTCTTATGTACAGATATGTGTATAAACAACTTTTGTACATACATATAGGATAGGTTTTTTGAACTTATACAGCTGTACATAAAAGTAGCTGATATTAGTTAAGCTTGTGTCAACAGTTTGGATTTTTTTCACTTGTACATTTGGGAACTTTTCTTTGGGTTGATTAAAGTTGCATATGCTGTGTCTGAAGTGAATGGCAATTATTCCGGATTCCCTTCTTAAAGCATTTCCAACCAGCTTACCCATAAGGCTCAGTAGGTTCCTTAAAGGAAATTATCTGAAGTTTTAATTTTTCTTTAAAATTCACAGCACTGAACTTTATCTCATTTAAGAGGAGGAAGCTATGGCTTTATTTCTTCAGCCTGAAGACCCCAATGAGTAAATTTATTCTGGGCTTGACACTCTAGGTAGCCTTATCACTAATACCAGATTATAGCGAGCGTTTTCTAAGTTTAAACAACCTAGTGAAAGCAATTTATTTATTGGGTTATCATATAATGGTAGTTTCTCCCAAACAAATCCACGTAAATAGGGTTGTTGGACAAGTCATGACGTATTTTTGTTTTTCATTGCAAAGATGCGTCATGACTTGTCCAACAACCCAATAGTTTGTTGGCATCCTGTTCAGCTCAAAGTTACCGATAGGGAAAAATAGGGCGTCTGAGTTCTGATTCAATCCATTAAAGTATTTTTTCTCCATATAGAACCTCCCTTGAGGCTTTGATGCCTGTTAAGTGATTCCTTGGGTTTTGTATCTCATTCCCCAGCTCAGTTATTTTCATATTCACCTTAATTACATGCACAGCATTGGAGAAAAGGATTCTACCAGAATACTATAGCAATGGGCTTGAGTCTCCCTTTCCTGATCAAAGGTTTTTCAGTCCTGTTGATCTGAGGTGATACTTATTTCTCAAGCTCAAGTGAATTCCCCCAAGTTCTCGATACTTCCCCATTTAGGGCCATCAAAGTTACTTTGACTTGATGCTAGAATGAGGCCATTCTCTAATTCTCAGATGAAGGGCAAGGTGGTTGGATTTTGACTGCAAGGGTATAAGAAACCACCTGAGTCTTGAGTGTGAGGGGTATTGTCTATAAACCTGGAGCTGCCCACCTGGCCCTGTACTTCCAGGAACATAAGAAAACAGGTCACCTTTCAACAAAACGTGGCTTCGTGAACTGAGCATGAGGTCTGTCTCTTCCTGATACTTCAACTTCATTATCTTCCCTCCCCCTCAGTAGGATTTACGCTCATTGTGATTCCTCAGCTTCAGAAATAGAATTTTTGCAAAAGTTTTGTTTCCATATGTAAAAGCTAGAAAGCAGTCTCAAGTAACAATGGCAGAACAGATGCCTGAATCCAGTTCCACCTTTCCTTTCACTTCTTTCCCCTTCTTGTTGAACCAATATACTTGGAAATATAGGGTGGGGAGGATTGGGTTGGAGCTTCCAGTAAGGGCTTCCTTCTACAAGGAAGCTGGTAGGGTAGAAATGAACAAATGTGGGCACCAAGTAAAGGGCAAAGCTATTAGCCAGTGATTGGTGAGATGAAGCCCGAAGGAAATAAGGGAGTATTGCTAAGAATAGCACAGCAGACGCCAGAGGTACAGATGTTAACAAAACTTTTGGTGTCTGGGAGGGAGTAGAGGGGAAAGAGGAAGACGTCCAGGTGACAGGGGGAGGAAGTGATGTCTCCGCTAATAAGAGATGTTTTACATGGAGCAACTTTGGGAACTTAGCAGGCATGAGACAAGTTCAGAAGCAATCAGAGCTGGAAGGAAGGATGTGCAAAATAAATATTAAGAGAAGCTAAGGATGTGGAAGGCCTCCTCAAAATAACACAGCAGAGGGCCACAGAACCTCATGGAAGACCTACCTGTAAGGATGGGGGCCAGGTAGGAAAGGAAAGAACAGGGCCTCCCAAAGGAAGCAGCTGAGCAGCCAGTACTTGGGAAGTCAGTGGTAAGGAATGAGAAGTGGGGGGTAAAAATGGAGTATGACCAGGCCTTTCAGAAGATGGCTAGTGAGTGGGGTGGCTGGCTAGCTCAGTTGGTTGGAGCACAGTGCTCATAACACCAAGGTTGCTGGTTCGATCTCCACATGGGCCACTGAGCTGCGCCCTCCACCACTAGATTGAAACTATTTGAATTGGAGTTGATGGGTCCTGGAAAAACACACTTTCCCAATAAAAAAATAAAAGAAGATGGCTAGTGAGTATCTTATAAGCCAGGCTCCATTAAGATGGAAGGGAAGTCAGGTCCATTGGCCCTTCTTTGTAAATGAAAGAAAAGAGCACAAACACAATCCAGGAACAAAGATAACTTATAGGAGTAAAACCTGATTTTTTTTCAATTATTCTACTCCCTTTACCAACAACAAACTGGTTCAAGAATGAACATGTGATCCAAATGAAGCCATGAGACACAAGGTCAAAATGGCTGGACAGCTTCTGGGAAATTGTTTTCTAAAAAGATAAGATTCAGGCTCTTGATTATCCTCTGTAAGCTGACGTAAAGCCTGGGGCAGCAGCAGACATCCCCTGACTGTGAGGCAAGCCAGTTGCCCAGCAAAGCCAATAAACTGGTGAGCAGAGTAGCTTGATGGAAAGAATTTGGACCCTTGGTTACATGACAATTACCCTATGACCCACCTGAGCTCCAGACAACTTAAGTGAGAGACTGAGTTTCCTTCCATTTCAGCTGGTTGTTAATGTTCGTTGTTAAAATACAGCTAAAAGCATTCTAACTAATTGATGGCATAGGACAGTGAGTCTGCTTAGCTGTGCTAAAAAAAAAAGATCAGATAAGACAGTATGTAACAGCGCAGGAAATTCAAGCCATGCTGACAGCCAAACCACTACCCTTGGAGTTCATGAAAAGGCTTTAGCTGTAGGAATGCCCCTCCTTGGTGGCTCTACCCCAGGCAGCATTCCTGACACAAAACTGTACCCCTCTCCCAGAACTCCCAAGTCTGAGCCCAAAAGGGAGAAAGGTAAGGTAATGCTCTTAAGCACCTGGGGGCCATTGGTGGGGTGAGGGGAGGGTACTAATGGAAACAAGGCCTAATCAAACCACATCCTGGGCCAGCCGAGTGGCGTGCTGGTTAAGAGCTGGCTTGGGACGCCAGAGGGCCCCAGTTCGGATTCCACATGAAGGCCAGTGACACTGCCCTCTACAGCTAAGATGCTGAACAACAGCTCAACCTGGAGCTGGGCTGCCATGAGTCGCCGGCGACGGCATAGGCTGCAGCCCCTGCTGCAGTGGGTTGCCATGGGCTACCGTGAGCAGCCAGCAGCCGCTGTGAGCAGCTGTCCAGACGCCGGCAACTGATCTGCCTCGCCCAGGAAGAGCGCAGTGATGGTGCCAACTTGGGCCAGTGAAGCAATGTCTTCCACAACTAGACTGAAGAACAAAAGGACAGCAACTTGTCTGTTCCCCTTCCCCCAATTCCCCAGCGCTGTTCCCATCCCCCAATAAAAATCTTTTTAAAAAAAACAACAAAAAACCAAAGCACATCCCGTGGCCTTCAGTGAACTGGATTTCAGCAACCTTCCCTCTCCAACATCCTGGCAGTACTAAATTGCTGCTCACTGTAAGTTAATTTGGGCATGAGGATTCCCCCCAAAACCCTACATATGCTCTGGCTAGAGAGCAAACCTTACTGGAAATCCCACAGCTCAAAAAGCTAATATTTCTCTGAAGAGCTAGGCTCTAGATTACGGCTTTTATTATGAATGCATCAGTGATTTTTAAGTCTGTATCCTACAAAGTGACTAGGATGCCAGGCCTGAGGGGCTTAGCTCCTGGGTCTGGGGACAGTGCTAAGCCCAAACTCCAGGAAGACTCTCAGAGGGAAACAGTTAACTGTCACTAAGGCAGCAGGAGTAACAAGTACTGCAAAAGGCTATGTGGATAATCCCACAACACCATCCCTCACAACTGGCTAGCTCTAGCTCACTTCATCTATAGTCAAACTATTTTCCTGCAAATCTGTTTCCAATCCTATTTTCTAGAGAACTACACTTCTCTGTCATCCCTGTAATCCATACTGAAATCATCTTTGGCTTCTCTTCCACTAAAGACCAAGTCAGTCAGTCACCAAGTTTAAATTTCTTTGTATCTATAGGCCCACACCCTCCCTCTGCCCATATTCTCACTAGCCCAGGCCACTAAACAAACATTTTTGCCCATTTCCCATTATCAGGGAAATCCCTTTAAATTCCCTTATTCGCAGCCCAAACTTCCCGATTATGCCCATAGTACCCTCAAGAAGTCCTGACCCCACCCTCCTGCTAACCTAACCTCCCACACCTCCATACATAATGTGTTCACAAAAACCTGCTCTGATCACACTTGTTGCCTCATTTGCAATGTTCTGCCTCCATGGCCTTCGCCCAGGTTATATGGTTGAGGCCAGGACTGCCATGGGGGTTCAAGCAGAAAGGCTGGGATACAAGAAAGGAGCTACTTAGTGGCCCACCAGGCAGCATGGTTCAGCTCAACATTCAGTCAAACATTATATACAATTGTACTCTGACTAGGGCAGGCAAGGAACCCAGGTAAAGCAGAGGGACCAGTGACAATAAGAGCAACACTCACCAAGCGCTTACCTGCCAGATACTGTGCCAAGCATTTTACAAGTACCATCTCCCATAATACTAACAATCTCCACTCTAGAAGATGCTATTACTATCTCCATGTTACATGAAGAAACTGAGGCGTATAGACGTTGAGTAATTTGTGCAAGGTTCCACAGCTAATTAAGAGGTGTACCTGCCATTCAAACTCCAATGTAGCTGGTCAGAGTCCTTGACTCAACCGCCATACTACACCATCTCCCAAATGGGCTAGCCTTGCAAGGAATAATCAGTTAACTTACATCAAGTCCTTCCTCACTTCAATAGCATCTGGGAAAAACCATTTGAAAGGACTGAAGGTCACATCCAGTTGGAAGGGTTTCTCATAAGTAAACATCAAATAAAGATGTTGCAGTCACATTTTTATCCATCTCACACTCAAGACCAAGCTCCCAAGTACCCCTTCTGCAGCTGCTTCCCTGTATATATCCACCCTCATTTAGTCCACCCCAAAAAACTTCTGACAATGACACATGAACTGCACAGAGCCAGCTGCCCTACCAGGTCCTTTATGCAGTTCAACATACAAGGTGACACCAAATTATGACAAGTAAAGTTCCAGTTTGGGTGCTTCCACCTCCCTCCCCTGAATCCTGATCCAATGCCTGCCAAAGCCAGAAGGGGCTTGGGTGGGGTGCTTGGTCCTGGGGAAAGCTGCAGTGGTTGGCCCAGCAGATGGGGAAAGGGGAAGGTTTCACTTCTTCACAATCTGAATGACATCCTCGTCCTCCAACGTATGGTCTTTACCCACTTTTTGAGGATTGTGTTTCACAGAGAGACCCCAGACCAGAGCGCTGTATGAAAGGGAAAAAAGAACAGTCAGTATAAATAATCACCTAGCTTCCTCCCTATCTACCTGGGTGCCGCCTTTCTGCTCAGGTTTAGCTTTCCAGCTCTTAAGAGCCACCAGCCTGCAACAGCCATGGTGCCCTCTCCCCAGTCAAGAATCACACTCCAAGCCCAGAGGCTTTGGCTTCCCTAATGTGGCACACTGGAGCATTCATATACAAAGTGGCAAAGACTTTTAGAAATTGTGTAGTTCCTTTTGTTCCAGAGCCTGTTTAAGGAAGTCATAGAAAAAAACACAGATGAGAAGTGTGACAAGACTAGCATAAAATTAAAAGGAGAAAGCACGAGTTTGAAATACCTAAAATAATTCAGATTGGAAATTGATTCTTACAAATACAGTGTCAGTGTGGGGGCCAGCGAGTAGCTCAGTAGGTTGAGGGCATGAGCTCTGAGCAACAGGATTGCTGGTTCGATTCCCACATGAGCCAATGAGCTGCACCCAAGCTGAGCTGCTCCTCAGCTGCCAAAGGTGACAGGATGGCTCAGCTGATAAGAGCACGTGCTCCTAACAACAAGGTTGCCGGTTCAACTCCCGCATGGGATGGTGGGCTATGCCCGCCCGCAACTAAAACTGAACACTGCACCTTGAGCTGAGCGGCTGACAAGCGGCCAGATGGCGACTGGACTTGGAGCTGAGCTAGCTGCACCCTCCACAACTAAGATTGAAGGAAAACTTGGCTGTTCCCCTTCCCCAATTCCCCAATAAAACTCTTTAAACAAAAAACAAATACAGTGTCAGTTATAGACTGTTAAAGAAGACCAGTCTTGGGCTGGCCGAGTGGCGTGATGGTTAAGAACTGGCTTGGGATGCCAGAGGGCCCCGGTTCGGATCCCACATATGAGGGCAAGTGACACTGCCCTCCACAGCTAAGATGCTGAATTAACAGCTCAACCTGGAGCTGGGCTGCTGTGAGTCACTGGCAACGGCGTAGGCTGCAGCCCCTGTAGCAGTGGGTTGCCATGGGCTACCGTATGCAGCCAGCAACCAGCGTGAGCAGCCAGCAGCCACAGTGAGCGGCCGTCCAGAAGCCGGCGACTGATCTGCCTCACCCGGGAAGAGCGCAATGTTGGTACCAACTTGGGCCAGTGAAGCAACGTCCTCCACAACTAGACTGAAGAACAAAAATGACAGTAAATTGTTCCCATCCCCCCCAATTCCCCAATAAAAATAAAGAAAGAAAGAATACCAGTTTTTATTGATAAGAAATGCAGGGCCTCTCTCCTCAGCCATGCTAGGAAAATCCTTCCTCCCTATCAAGAAACCATAATTGGTATGTTCTCCTGACTTAAGACTATATGAAGGTAATTTTTATCCATGAGCCTCCAATACTAAGAATATGTTGTACTAGTGATGGAAATTGGTGAACAAGACACTGAGACCTGCCTCACAGAGGCTAAGAACTATGTACCTAGGGGTAGAAAATGGTGACCATATTGTTATTATACTGTCTTTGCACCAAAACTTTAAGAACCTATATTCACTAAATAAGATTTCCGTTTTTGTTTTTGTTTTTAATTTAAAGATTTTTATTGGGGAATCGGGGAAGGGGAACAGACAAGTTGCTGTCCTTTTGTTCTTCAGTCTAGTTGTGGAGGACGTCGCTTCA